ACATTTTTAGGCGGATAATATTAAAGACAGAGAATCTTTCTACATACTGTTTATTAATTTTCACTTCACTTTGTCTTCTTTTAGGGTGTGGTTAGACCCACAGGGGGATATGCTGTAATGCTAAACTGGACTATGTCTTCTGTATATGGACTTAAACCTGGAGAGGTAATCATAGTTTTAAAGACAGATTTCATGATATTTCTTTGATTAAGATATATGCCTTTTATGATCTTCTTATGTTTTAGGTGTGGTGGGCTGCTTCTGATTTAGGCTGGGTTGTTGGACATTCCTATATCTGCTACGGACCTCTTCTACATGGGAACACAACAGTTTTGTATGAGGTAACAAAGTAAAGTAATGCCACATATAAATAGCATTTATTTTATGGACCTTTTTGAGAAGCACTGCTGCTTCTCAAAATTTGGGTGGAGGCTGGGAACATTTGCATATCTTTGTCCAGCTAATTATGATTTCAAAAGATTAAGGAATTGATAGCTAATGTCAGTGACTTAAACAGTGTTGAAGAACAAAGCATGGGTATTGGGTCAGAGTATTTTTTAAATACTTAAAAGACTGAATATAGGCAAGGCCAGTGAAAACTATATTCTGAAGAACACAGACTCATAAGCTGGATGTCTATTCATGATGATTTCTAGAAAGTATTATCAAACTGATAGTAATTTTAGAGTCTTAGAAAAGAAAGTAGTGATTATAAACAAGCCACAAAGATTCACCTTTTTGTACTTTTATGGGATTAATGGATTTACAGAAGTATGGTGTCTCAATTTTAGATGTATTTTCCAGTTCCTGATGGTGTTTTTATGCGTGAGAGAAATACAGACTGGGCAGACTCATAGCCGAATAAATAACTGCTTTAAGATGCTGGTCCCTGGATTAATGTCACCAGAAATGGGGTGTTTGTGTGTGTATTATGAAATTCTACTCATATGCCTGGTCTATTTAATTTTATCGATTACTTGTAAAAAGACTTAGAAAACATAGCTATCACATTTAGGAGATCAAAAGCTTGGAGTGATAGCAGATATAATATATTTCTAAATCAGAATTCAAACTCATCTTGGACTTTAGGTACAAAATAAACAAGATGGAAAAATAGGAAAATATTTACAGTCTTATATTTAGATTTTAAATAATTGCACAAACAATGTACACCTATATAAACAGAATAAGTATATGTCCTACTACATTTAGGGAAAACCTGGGTTGGTTGCAGTTTATATTCCCAAATATTAAAATTCTTCATAGTTCAAACATAAGTTGTTGGTGCAATTAGTTTGAGAAGTTGTTGTTGTTGTTAAGTGCC